TGGGCGCTCCTGTGCATATGCCCTCTCTTCCCGTCAGCCGGTAGCTCCACTCTCAGTGGCCATGCCACTGACTCACCCTTGACTTTTTCCTGTTAATATTGTAGCGTAATATGCTGAGGCACTCCCTGGGCACATACACCATATGGCAGCACAGGGGAGTTAACACTTCACAGGACAAACCTATCTGCAGTGGCAGGTAGGAGCCAGTACAAAAATTCTTCCTTGTACTAGCAGCTGTTCCTGAGTAGCAGTTACTTTTATGACCCATTAGAAGATAGATGCACTGGCCCACAAAGTCGGTTTGAATCACAAGGTCAGCGGTTTAAACTCACCAACAGCTTCTCAGAAACCCTTACAGGGTCTTTAGGAGTCGGAATTGACTCGATGGCACTTAGCAACAACAACTGAAGATATAGCTCAAACAACTCTATGTACTTATATTGGATGAGGGCCACCTTAAGGAGCCTTAGTAGCATAGTGGGTTACACATTGGACTGCTAACTTCAAGGTCAACAGTTCGAATCCACCAGCTGCTCTGTGGAAGAAAGCTGAGGTTTTCTGTTCCTGTAAAGATTTAAAGCTCTACATCCTCAGCAGCCCTGTGCAGGGTCTGTATGAGTTGGTCATCTTCAGATCAAACCCTCATACTGACTCTCCTCATCCCTGCTTCCTCCTCCTTCCTCTTGCTGCCTGGGATTATACTTATGAATCAAGACTTTGCAAATAAACTTTTGCCTCAGATTTCTGTTTGTCTCAGATTCTGTTTTCAGAAAGCATGGAAAGATGCTTCCTAAACCAATCCCTGAAACCAGAGAAACATTGTGTGCTGTTTGACATCACTGGAGGGGATGGCGCTTAAGCCAGAGAGGACTGCAGTGGCCATACACAATGTTACTATACTGGGTGGAATGGAACATAATAGTATTCACAATGTCAGTCAAACAGGCAAGGACTGTGTTTATCTTGCCCCAACAATCAGTTTACTTCTAGTTCCTTAAACTGTCCCATTTCAAGTTCCCTTAAAATTTCTGATACCTAATAAACGAGGTCCCAGTGTGGAGCTGTAAGATAAACACTGGACTGCAAGATCGGTTTGAACTGTAAAGTCAGTGGTTCCAATTCACTAGCCGCTCCTCAGAAACCCTATACAGAGTCGCTATGAGGCGAAACCAATTCCCAAAAGCTCAACAACAGCAATATGCGGAAGTGATGGGACAAGTCCAATAATTTAACATCTTTCAGTGTAGTAATTGTGTTCATGGTGTGGCCAAGACAGTTGTAGCTGATAGGAACTGCAACCCTAGTCTTCTTCTTGTTGTTGTTAGGTGCCATCGAGTTGGTACAGAGCCATAGCGACCTTATGCACAACAGAACGAAACACTGCCCTATCCTGAGCCAACCTCACAATTGTTGCCACGTTTGAGTCCATCGATGCTGCCACTTGGACAATCCATCTCATTCAGGGTCTTCCTCTTTTTCTCTGACCCTCCACCTTACCAAACATGATATCTTTCTCCAGTGACTGGTCCCTCCTGACAATATGTCTGAAGTATGAGAGACGAAGTTTGGCCATCTTGGCCTCTAAGGAGCTCTCTGGCTGCATTTCTTCCAAAATGGATCTATTGATTCTTCTGGCAGCCCATGGCATTTTCAATATTCTCCTTCAACACCATAACTCAAAGGCTTCAATTCTATGGTCTTCCTTATTCACTGTCCAGCTTTCGCATGCATATGAGGTTATTGAAAATACCATGGCTTGGGTCAGGAGCACCTTAGTCCTCAAGTTGACATCTTTGCTCTTCTACACCTGAAAAAGGTCTTGTGCAGCAGATTTGCCTAATGCAGTAAGTCATTTGATCTCTTGACTGCTGCTTCCATGAGTGTTGATCCAAGAAGAATGAAGTTCTTGACAACTTCAATCTTTTTTTCATTGATAAGAATGTTGTTTATTGGTCCACTGGTAAGGATTTTTGTTTTCTTTACATTGAGATGTAATCCATACTGAAGACTGTGCTCTTTGATCTTCATCAGTAAATGTTTTAAGGCCTCTTCACTTTCAGCAAGCAAGGTTGTGTCATCTGCATATCGCAGGTTGTTAATAACGAGTCTTCCTCCAATCCTGATGCCACGTTTTTCTCCATATAATCCAGCTTCTCAGATTATTTGCTCAGCATACAGGTTGAATAAGTATGGTGAAAGAACACAACCTTATCGCACACCTTTCTTAATTGAAAACAGATCACGTAACTTTTTCTTTCAATTAAGTCATTCCTTTAATTGGGGAAGTGGGGCTTTTTTTCTCAGTATTATTTGGCACTCCATTCCTGTAGGATAAGCACTGGACTTCTAACTACAAAGTCAGTGCATCAAACCTCCCAGCCACTCCTTGGAAACCCTATACAGGGTAGCTATGAATCAGAACTGACTTGATGGCATTTATCAACAACCCAAGGTAAGGCTAATACAGGGCAAACATATGCGGAGCACTTCAAAGGAATCCTGGTAGTGCTGTTGGATAAACAGAGAACTATTAGCCACAAGGTAAATAGTTCACACCCATCAGCCTCTCCTAGGGTGAAAGATGAGGCTTTCTGTTCCATAAAGAGTCAAAGCTTTGAAAGTCTTACACAGGGTCACTATGTGTTAGAATCAACTCACTGTCAATTGGTTTGGCTTCGTTTTTCACTCTGGTAGCACTGTAAGATAAGCACCAGACTGCTAACCTATAGTCGGAATATAAAACCCATCAGCTGCTCCGCGGGAAAAGAGGAGGCAGTTTGCTCCCCAAAAGATTGACAACCTTGGAAAATCTATATAGGATTCCCATGAGTCATATTCCACTCAATGGAGGTGGGCTTTGGGTTTTTCTGGCCTGTGGTCTTTGCTGGTGATGGTTCCCATTTGCTCAGACTGGTGGTCCCCTCATGACTAGCTTCCCATTTCAGCGCGGGAGCCATTGCTGCACCTAGAGCCTCAGCCTAGGGTTCCCTCCCCACCCTGGGAGAGAGGATCTTGTGCCCACTGTCTGGGAACTTTGCTACTTTCAGTCTTGTGTGAGCCCTGCTTTCTTCACTTACTCTGTGACTTCCTCCTCTCACCCACACTCCAGCCTTCCTTGCCACAACACTTAAGTGTCTGCTCTTTCTACAACCACCTTGAGACACCAGCATGAAGTGCTCCAAAGGTTTAACTCCAAGGTTACAGACAGATAGCCTGCCAGCCAAATCCTACCCATGGCCCTGGTTTACTGCATTACTCCAAGTGCTTTGCAAAGTGGGATTCCATAGGAAAATGCAGATTTCTGGAGACCCTGGAAAAATCAGTGTATCTGGCAAGGCTGGGTGCGAGGAAAGGTTGTCTCCTTCAGAAGCCTCCCATTTTCTGCTTCAGATGTAACACTATTATTTCACACCTGAGCCTGTAGGCACTTTGGCTGACCCTATGTTGGTGGAGCTTATGTTTTGATGAGGGAGACAGATATTCAAAAGAAAATGGATGCATTCCTATAAAGCAGGGCGATAGAAGATGAATGAGGGATAGAGATAACACGGCACCATTTCATATAAGGTACAAACTGTTAGCTCTTGATTGCTAACCTTTAGGTTTGAATCCATCCATTGGTACCACAGAAAAAAAGTCCTGGTGATCTGCTTCTGCTAAGATTGTTGTTGTTTAGTGCCGTCAAGTTGGTTCCGACTCGACCCTGTGTAGGGTTTTTGAGGAACAGCTAGCTGGTGGGTTTGAATCACCCATCTTGTGGGTTATACTACAGCACCATACCAGATTACAGCCAAGAGAATCCTACACGAGGGTCACCCTAAGCTGGAATTGACTCAGTGACAACTCATAGCAGCAAGGTGACATTTAAGGAGAGACTGAAGCCAAGTGGCCCTGTGGGTTAACACGCTGGACTGCAAGGTTTGTTTGAACAGCAAGGTCGGCGCTTCAAGGTCACCAGCCGCTCCTTGGAAACCCTATACAAGGTCGCTACAGGTCGGAACCGACTCAACGGCACTTGACAACAACAACAGCCTGTGCTTCAGGCCTCTGAGGCAAGGCCTTCTTAGAATGGTCTAGGACAAAATACAGAGACCAAATCAGAAAGTTGTTCCGATTGTCTCATTCCCACAAAAGATAACGCAAAGTAATAGCTTATTAGAAATTTCAGTCTCACTGTTATAAGCATTTTTTCAAAATAAAGCTAAAATTCAAATGTGAGATTTATTCTTTAAGGAGCCCTGGTTGCGCAGTGGTTAAGTGTTTGGCTGCAAACTGAAAGATTGGTGGTTCAAACCCACCAGCCACTCCATAGGAGGAAAATAAAGCTGTCTGTTTCAGTAAAGATGTATAGTCTCGGAAACCCTAAGCATCAAGTCCACTCACCTATAGGGTCATGATGAGTTAGCCTTCACTTGATGGCTGAGGGTGGTTTGGTGGGATGTCCTTCAGGGGGTTATGAGGCAGAGTTGACTTGGCGGAATGGAGTGAAGCAATCCTATTTTATGCCCTATATTTAGCAGACTTGCCTTTTTTCTTAATCAGAGGACCGAATTGATTTAATTTGATCCTTGGATGAGGGTGTATTGTCTTCTCTTTGCTTCTTTTCTTGGATTGTGATGGCAGCTCTTGGTAAACTATTACAAGCTGCCTGGACATCACCAAGATTTGCTCATCCACATTAACACCATGCAGTTGTGAGTTCACGTTCTATTTAGAGCAACATGTCAGCTAGAAATACCTCCACCTTCCTGGGCGCAGGCTGAGCCAGTTGCCAAAATAGCCCCTTGAGTAAGTGGCAGCTTTAAAAACCACTCAGCTACTGACTTCAGACTAGAAGGTCAGCAAAGGAAAGTGGACGTTGGATTCTGAGCAAGAGAGATCGCGGTGGCCACGGGGTTTAACAGTGTTAATAATTTGAAGACTTGATCAATTCGCCTGGTGAATTCTCCTTGGATTTCTTGTTGATTGCCTATCTTTATCTTCTCCCTTCTGACTTCAAGATGAATGTGCAGGCTTGCTCCAGGTGTGGATATGGGGTTTACCCTGCTGAGAAGATCAGCTGTATAGATCAGGTCAGTGGCCATTTCTTGACCTCTGTGAAATTTATCTTCTCATAAGAACAGGGTGTAGGTTTTGCACCACTGGGGGGGGGGGGGAGTCTTTTCCTACTTCTCTTAAGTTTTACCCATTACTGTCATCATGGGGGGAAAAAAAGGTATCTATTCGTTGTTGCCAAGTGCTATAAAGTTGGTTCCGACTAGGGTTTCTGAGGCTGTAAGTCTGTAGAATGTCATGTATTTCTCCTACAGAGTGGTTGGCAGGCTCGAACTGTGCATCTTATGATTTGTAGTCCAGTGCTTATTCTACAACACCACACCAGGACCTAGGTAGTATTTTAAGCAACAGACTGAAAGGTTTGGAAATTTCAAGTTCTATAAAGTGAAAGATCAAATCTAGTCAACTAAAATTTTGTATGTCACATTATTAGTATCGTGCAAAACAATCTATCTGTTTATTTAACAGTTTTCATTTAGCCAGTATGTCAGTTGCCATTTTATCACGAAGTACTCTTTCCCTGAAATACGTACATAACAATACTAAGCCTGAAAACAAAGATCATTTCGCTGATTTTTTTTCTATATGATTTCTAGATATGGCATAAAGCGTGTTTTCACTGTGAAGTCTGTAAGATGATACTATCGGTTAATAACTTTGTGAGTCACCAGAAAAGGCCCTATTGTCTTGCGTAAGTATTCTATTCCCCTTCCCCACACCTGTGGAATTTGTTGGTTTTCTAACAAGTAGTCAACTAGTTTCCAATCATAAACTCTTGCATTTGATCCAAGAAATGTTTTCCCAAAAGTTTCCACTTACCAAGGCTACTTGAAGAGACCTTTGTAGTTGCTAAGTGTCACTGTAGAGGGTTTCCGAGGAACTGCTGGTGGTTTTGAGCCGCTGACCTTGAGGTTTGCAGTCCAGTGCCACACCAGAACCTACAGACTTAAAAGACTGGAAATTTCAAATTTCTCTAAAGTGAAAGATGCCATCTATCCAACTATAATTTGCATGTCAAATTATTACTATTCCTCAGAACAACATATTTGCTATGGATCTGCATATCAAGGGTTAAATATCTTAATAAATTTCAGAATCCTCTTCTACTTTAAAACAACTATTTTTGGTTAAGTTCCGTCTTTAATTTGTATCTGTGGAAACTCTTCAGTTTTCTGTTTTACCACTTTAAAATTCATTGCCTAGAAAACATTGAATTAATTATTAAGTTTCTAATTTATTGATTAAAAACTGGTTGTGCCTTTAAACACGGTCTCACGGTCTATCATCTTGGATAAAGTACATTTCTATTTTGATTCTGAGATCTACATATTTTTTTTGCAGCCATAACCCCAAGAACAACACTTTTACAAGTATATATCACACTCCGTTAAATCTAAATGTGAAGAAGACTCCAGAGACCATCCATGGGGTAAGTTACTAAGATATGTTGCTCAAAATAATCTTTAAAAATAATCCTTCAACTCAGGTACCTGCTGTGTTTTTAAGAGTCTCTGTTTACATCTTTGTCTGTTTATTTTTTTCCATATACACATGCTAAATGCATGTATTTTAAAACATAAAATAAAAAAAACAGTGTTTCTGTTTTTACTCCCACAACAAAGGGGGCAATACACAAAATAATGTAGCTTAAATATTCCAAGTTCTTATATGCAGGATAATCTCTGTGCCTGGCCAGCTCTGTATATTGGTGACAGTTTGTACAATAGACCCTGTATACAGTAGGTGTTTAATCTATAATACAAAGTTAGAAAACATCATGAGAACCTTTGCTTTTTTCTACTGTGATATTTTAGTAAAATTAATGACTGAGAATCCCACACTCTCTGAATTCAGTGGTTGCTTAAGATGATTTCCAGCCTTCCTTTTGTTGTGGAGTAGGGACAGGTCAAAGATTTTTCTATTTGTAAATGACTTTTTGTTTGGGGGCTGGGAGGGGTGGGGGAGGAGACAAGTAGACCACCTTAATCAACTTGAATTTGTTTAAAAAGCCAGTCTGAGGGCTTTGCCAGATAACCCACTACAGATTGAACTCTTGCATCTATCAAAATGATGGTTCACTTGGTTTAACTTTTCTCTCCTATGCCCCACAAGAAATTGCTCTGTGGGAGGCAGCTTTAGCAACTGTCTAAAATTAGAAAATTGCACATGAGGTAGAAAGCGCTCTAGTAATCTTACTTCACCCGAGATCCCCCCCTTAATGTTGCCTCAGCTCAGTGACTCTTCCGCCTGCCCAAGCCATCCTCACCCTCAGCAAAATATGTCTTAGATCAAACTAATGCCCTTCCCTGTGGCTTGGTGTACATACTACCAAGATTCCTTATTTTTCCAACTGTCTTACAGTTATTGTTAGTTTATTCATTTTTTATTTCACAAATTTGTATAGCATCTATTGTAGATGTGTTCAATTAATTTACTCCACATTCCAACTCAATGAAGTAAATATTATAATGATCCCAATTTCATTTTTAGGACATTGAGCCTAAAAGAATTCCTTATATGTCATAGATTTCTAAGAATTAAAAACATTAAGAATTCACAAACAATCCTAGATTACGGAGAAGGTTAATTTTTTGGTAGGCCTATGTTTTCGTCTGTTGATGTCTGAGGGCAGCTACATGAAATTGCAATAATACTAAATTTAGCTCTTATTTTAGCAAAGTGTTGGGCACACCACTAAGTTTTATACTCTATGTTAGCTTGTTTGTCCTTTATAACACCCCCTGTCCTATTACTATATTCCATGGAAAGCTGAGGCTCAGAGAGGTTAAGTAACTTGTCCAGGTTCACCCAGCTGGTGGATGGATACCAATCCAGGTCTACTTGACTTGAGAACTCATACTCTACACTGCTCCATTGGGCATTTCCACAAATACCTAGATGGTAGTGAGCTTTCCAGAAGACAAAAAGCAGTTATCTGTTCTCAAATATTTAGAGTTGGACAGATTCAGCACAAGGAAATATACCTAGGCATCAGAGTGCTGTCTGCATAGGCTACACTCTCCACAGAAGGATCCTGCCACAGGTCACGCAATATTGCCCTCCTTTGAAGGTAATTGTGAACTCACTTTCTTTTAACTGCGTGTGACAGGCCAAGACTGGAGTCTGTCTAGGACTTCCACTGCTCCTCTTTCCAGCCACAGACAATGCAGTGCGCTTCCCAGGAGGCCTGTGTGCACGCATTTGTTTGTATATATATGCAGATGTGTGCTTACGGGGAGTATATGTGTATGTGTGTGCATGCATGAATGTGTCTGCATGCATGTGCATTTATGTAGTGTGTGGTATCTTTGTATGTTATACCACACACATCCAAATGTACATGTGTGTGGCATGTATAAACGTGAATGTATATATGCATATGTGTCTGTGCATATGTGTGTATTTGTGTATCTTTGGGGGTGTGTATGTATGTAGTGTGTGCATGCACACATGCCTGTATATGTATGTATGTATGAATTCACATTTATATTATTTATGTTTATATGCATATGTGTATATATGGTGTGTGCCTGTGCAGAGATGCATATGTGTGTGTGTATGTGTATGTGCATATATGGTGTGTCTGTGTGCATATGTACACAGTGTGCATGTGTGTGCATGTATGTCTATGCTGTGTATATGTGTATGCGTGCGTATATGTGTATATGTGGAAGGTGTGTATATGCACATGTGCATTTTTTTTAACTTGTACATATGCACACGTATTTATGTGTATATGTGGTGGATGTAGATGCATGTGTGTATATGTGTGTACTTGTACATGTGTATGTATATGATGTGTGCATATGTGTAAGTAAATGGTGTATCTGTGTATGTTGTGTGTGGATATGTATCATCTCTGGGTTTAGAATCTAAGGACTCTGTATTTTCTTTTGTGACTAGTTCTTTTTGCATTCTATTGAAGAAACCTTTGCTTTCCCAAGGTCACAAAGATATTGTTGAGAAGCCAGTTCTTCCTCCATTGATTTGTGCAGCCAGTGCAATCCCAGTCCAAGTCTGGATGCTTGTGTGTGTGTGTGTCTGTGCATGTGTATGTGTAAAAATTGACAGACTCATTCTAAAATTGATAAGAAAATACCAACAATCTAGAATAGCCCAGAAATCTTGAAGAAGAACAAAATCGGAGGCCTTTCAGGCTACCAGATTTCAACACTTTCAATAAAAGCATAGCAACGCACACAGTCGCATTCTAGCACAGAGACAGACAGACAGACCAAGGAAACAGAACACAAGGCCCCCAAATAGAGCTATACATATATGGCCATTTGGATTAAGACAATGACACCACTGTAGTTTAATGTAGCATGAAGATTTTTCAATCAATAGTACTGGAGCCATTGGATGTACTTCTGGTAAAAATGAACTTTGACCCCTACCTCACACCATATACAGAGATTAATTTGAGGTTGTTATAAGTAGAGATGTTAAAGATAAAACAAGAAAACAAAGGGTAACACCTTCCTGAATTTGGAGAACACTTCCTGGGTGTTCTCACTGAGACTAACCTCAAGAATCACTACTCCCATGTCTCAAGTGTTTTCTGATGCTATTCTAAAACTTTGTGTTGTGTGGTCGTTCAGAAAGACATTATCTATATGTGCTTTACTGCCCTGCTTAATAGAACTTTGCATACAGCAGGCACCATGTGTATGTTACCACGGGGTACAGATGAAGCCACGGAGAGACTAACAACACAGTGTTCACTCTATTGCAGTTAAGATACTTAACAGTTAAGACTTAGGAAAACCCCAAAGCTTATCTCTGTATTTTTTCTTTTCATTTCCTTCTTGATGGGACCATTACTGATGGCATCTTCATCATGTGGGTGAATGAGCAGGAAGATGAACGATTTAAATCGGTTTTTCAGTGGGACATGAAGACCAAGGATGGGGCAACTTCACCTAACGGACAACCACTGGTGAATGAGGTGAGGGAAGAGGTATAAGTGAGTTTGGGAAAAGAGAGTGGCAGAACACGCCATACAAGTGAAATGCATCATTGATATTACTTCTAGAATGCAAATTAGCTTTTAGAATGTAGTTCGTAATTCCAGCTGTCTACAGAAGACCTTTCAGAAGACCTCCATCAACATGCCTGAGATTATATCTACTATAGCTACTCCTGTCCAAGCTCAGTGGCTTCTTCCTTCCAATCCCTCTATATCTGACACTGCTGTCACACAGGCTTGAGACCATGGCTCCCCTTCCTTTCTCTGACGCGCCGCTCAGTTCCACCCTTTCGTCTCCATTTCCACTATCCCAGTTCCAAGCTACCTCATCTTCTTTCTGGCACCTTCTTTCTGAGGTGGCCTTCCCCCTTCTGGCTTTGCCCCTTTCCAGTGTGTCTTGTACATAGTGATCACACACAGTGTCTCGATGTCTCTGATTTACTCTTCCCACCACCTTAGAATTTATTGCAACCCACTGTTGACAAGCTCACCACTGAAAAATTTGTCAGCTGTTTATTTTTAATTATACTGGTATTCACAATACTTGGCTTTTCTTATTGCAAAAGCCAAATAATACAAGGCTTGTCCACCATTTCCATTCCCAGCTATCAGTTTTGTTAGTGTCCTTCCAGACTTTTCAGCTCATTTACAAATATATATTGTTATTTATCTTCATAATTGATGTTTGACGGTAAGTGGATCAACTATGTATCTTGAACAAATAAGTTACTTAACTATTCTTTGCCTCAGTTTTCTCATGTGAAAAGTGAATTTCAAATATTCCTAATTCATAGATCTATTGTAAAGATCTTACAACAGTGCTGTTGCTATTGTTAGGTGCAATCAAGGCAGTTCTGATTCATAGCACTCCTCTGTACACCAGAACAAAACACTGTCCAGTCCTGAGCCATCCTCACAATTATTGTTACATTTGAGCCCATTGTTGTAGCCAATGTGCCAGTTCATCTTCTTAAGGGCCTTTCTATTTTTCAATGACCCTTCACTTTGCCAAGCATGATGTCCTTCTCCAGGGACATCAACAACAAAACCTCCACTGTGTAGGATTTCCAAGGCTATAAATCTTGATGGGAGCAGAAGGCCTCCTCTCTCTCCTGCAGAGCAATTGGGTTATTTGAACAGTTGATCTTGGGGTTAGCAGCCCAATGCATAACCCACTATACCGCCAGGGCTCCTTGCTCTAGGGACTAGTCCCTTCAAAATACATGAGACGAAGTCAATACAGGTGTATTTGTTCTTCAGGTAGCCCACGGTATATTCCATGTTCTTTACAAACACCATAATTCAGATGCATCAATTCTTCTTCTGTCTTCCTTATTCACGGTCCAGTTTTCCCATGCCTATGAGGTGATCGAAATGACCATGGCTTGGGTCAGTCACACCTTAGTCCTCGAGGCAAAATCTTAATACTCTAAAGAGGTCTTTGGCAGATTTGCCTAATGCAATGTCATTTGATTTTTTGACTGCTGCTACCAGGTGTATTGATTGTGGATCAAAGTAAAATGAAATCCTTAATAACTTCAATCTTTTCTGTGTTTATCAGAATACAGCTTATTGGTATGTTGCTGTTGTTCTGTGCCATTCAGTCAGTTCTGATGTGCTGTGGAGTCGGTTCTGACTCACAGAGACCCTGTGCAGGGTTTCTGAGGCTGTAAATCTTTACAGAAGCAGAAAGCCTTATCTTTCTTCTGCGGAGTGGCTTGCAGGCTCGAACCATGAATGGACCTTGTGGTTCACAGCCCAGTGCTTGTTGGTATAGTTGTGAGGAATTTTGTTTTCTTTATGTTGAAGTATAATCCATACGTAAGACTGTACTCTCTGATCTTCATCACTAAGTTCTTCAGGTGCTCTTCAGTTTCAGCAAGCCATGTGTCATCTGTATATCACAGGTTACTAATGAGTCCTCTTCCTCTGATTCTGATGCTGTATTCTTCTTCATAGAGCCCAGCTTCTCAGATTATTTGCTCAGCATACAGAATTAACTAGCATGGTGAAAGGATACTACCCTGAAATACACTTTGCCTGATTTTATCATTAAATAAATATCCTGTTGTTCTGTTTAAATGACTGCCTCTTGGTCTATGTATAGGTTTTGCTGAAGCACAATCAGGTGTTTTAGAATTCCCATTTTTCACAATGTTATCTATAATTTGTTATGGTCCATACAGTTAAATTCCTCTACATTGTTAATAAGATGCAGCTAAACATCTTTGTAGTATTCTCTGCTTTTAGCCAAGATCCATCTGACATCAGCAAGGGTATCTCTTATTCCATATCCTCTTCTGAATCTGGTCTGAATTTCTAGCAGTTCACTGTTGATGTTCTGTCGAAACTGATATTAACGATGTTGTTCAATAATATAGTAATAGAACAGTTGTGTTGTTAAGTGCCATTGAGTCAGTTCTGACACATAGTGACCCAGTATGGGTTTTCCAAGGAGCAGCTGGTGAGTTTGAACCACTGACCTTGTGGTTCAAACCAACCTTGCCTTCTAGCCTATTGATGGGTAGGGTTGTTTTTTGCTATTACTAAGTTGCAATGAAGGAGCTCTGGTAGGGTAGTTGTTTCGAATCGGGCTGTGAACCACAAGGTCAGCAGTTCGAAACTACCAGCTGTTCCACGGGAGAAAGATGAGGCTTTCTGCTCCTGTAAAGATTTACAGCGACTCCACAACACATAACAACAACAACAACAAGTTGCAATGAACAACCTTTCTCATGTCCCTTATAGACACTAGTGAGTGTTTATCTACAATCCAGTTGCCCTCCTGGAGTAGATTCCAATTTATGGTCACCTCCTGGTTCTCTAGGTTATGAAACATGAAGTTGTTAGGTCACAGGGTATGTGTATATTTCATTGTAATGCTCACTGTCGAATTTCTTTCTAAGATAGAGTATGAGAATAACTTACCCCACACTTGGTATTACCAAAGTGATGGTTTGACTATATATTGTATCTTAAATTACGCTGATTGCTAGTATGGGTGGCCATATGCATATATTTAACTTTTTATTGTGAGTTGAGTGCAGGTCTACAGAGCAATTTTCTATTCAACAATTCATCTCACTGATTGCAGTCCCCACAGTGTAACATCACTGATCCTATTTCCCTCCTGTGATTCTTGTTTCCATTCTTCCCTCTTTCCCAACCCTCTGAAGTTTGTCCTTAGATAAAGGCTGTCCTTCTGATTTCTAATGGTTGAGTATTCTGTGATGTGCTTACCTCACTAGTGGTGTTTGCCTGTGTACTCATGGTGTACTCATGAGCCTTGGGGGTGAGTGCAGTTCCAGACCTGAAGGGTGACCAAGGACTATCATCTCGGGGTTCCTCCAGTTCCTTTCAGACCAATAAGCCAATGGATGACCATACTTTTGTGAACTAAGCTTCTGTCTTCCAGAGCTCCAAAAGTTGGCGCTCTCCAACTTGGCCAACTTAACCTACCACCACTATTACCTTGCTTCCTAACTATTATCCTCAATTCCAGTCAAAGCCATTTCTCACCATCTGTTACAAGGAGCCAATCCCGGCTTTGTGGCATTTTCATCCATAGAACTTACACAAAAAATATTTTTAGAATCTACTATGTTCCAGTGTTCTAGGTTTCTGGAATACATTAGTGAACAAAACAGATGAAAAGCCTTGTATGAAGTTGATCTTCTAGACTAGACGTACTTTGTCCCTTTGCTTCTTCTGGTAACTGACCTCAGCCTTGGAGGCCCAGCCCAAATTCCATTTTTCTACCAATAACAGGATCCGCCTCATACAGGTGGCTTTTAAAAATCTTCCAGCTTGTATTCATCATCAGTGCAGTACAGTTAAGCACCTAAATGCTTCTAATTACTAATTGATTCATATGTTAGTTTTCTTTTCCTTGGTAGATCATTTTGTTGTTGTTAAGTGTCATTGAGTCAGTTCTGGCCCATAGCGACCCTCTACAGGGTTTCTGAGGAGCAGCTGGTGAACTTGAACTGCCAACCTTACAATCTAACACATTAACCCACAGCACCACACCAGGACTCCAGATCATAAGTATCTTAAAAGAACTTTGTCTTTCAGATTTTTGTTTTTCTTTCCCCAACTATGTCTGTGTAAACCAATGTTAAGCACATAACAGTAAGTTTTTGGAATGCGTCTGAATAAGGCTGACTAATTTCCCTGCCCAATCTTGGTGCAATGATGAAGAAAGAAATGTTAACCTGCATTTGGAAGTCTTTGATATAAGTGACTTGCAGAAAGTTTGATTGTTGCCAGTTATTAGGTTAGCTTCTAACCTGGATAACTGAATGTCTGCTTTAGCTGAGATACACACCACAGCAATCGGAGTATACAGTTTCTAGAGAATTCCTGTCTTATATTGACAATATAGGTGAACATTGCTAGAAGGTGAGATGTTACTAATAGAAGTGTAGGATATATGTCTGTATGAATGCGTGTGCTTCCTTTTTAGAGACCCTATTGGACTGGATATGGGGAAGGAAATACTTGGTGCCCAGGGGCTCTGCCAGATCCTGAAATTGTAAGGATGGTTGAGGCACGGAAGTCTCTTGGTGAGGTAAGGGCCCTGGAAATTATTTGAGTAATTAGTTAAACCTTGGTTTTCAGTGTTCTCTTATTTTGGAGACCTTTGGAGGTCTTACTATTGTTGTTGTTGTTAGGCGCTATCTCATATGTATAACAGAATGGAACACTCTTCAGTCCTGTACCATTCTCACAGTCTTTGCTATATTTAAACCCATTTTTACAGCCACAGTGTCAGTTCATCCCACTGAGGGTCTTTCTCTTTTTCACTTACTCTCTACTTTACCAAACATGATGTTCTTCTCCAGGGGCTGGTCCCTCCTGGTAACATGCCCATAGATTTTATTGTAGGAAAGAGAATTTTAGTCTGGATTGCAGAAATCCTTAATAATCTATACACAGGACTCCTCTAGACCTTTCCACACCTGGTGCACCTACCTTTGAAGCATCTGCTTTGAAAAATATTGCCACTCTTTAGTGGGTTTTCCTTTAGAACATATGAAGAAATCAATAGGGATACAAATGCTAATCTGAACTATTTTATTGAAACAACTGATCATCTGAGATACTCAACTTTTGTTGTTATTTAAGTGCTGTCAAATTGGTTCCGACCCATAGCGACCCTGTGTAGGGTTTCCAGGGAGTGGCTAGTGAGCTTGAACTGCCAACCTTGTGGTTCAGACTGACTTTGCAACCAGGAAGGCAGAAAATGCCGCAGACATTTTATTCCCAATGTTCTAGAACTGTCTCCACAATAAGAGTTACTGAAACTCTCTCAACTATTAATTGCTGTTATAACATCCTGGAAATCCCTTGGATTGTTCCAGGTTGCACATCATTTGATGTTCATTTTGGAAGAGAAGTTCCTTTGTCTTGATAATGTGATTTCTGCAGTATTGGGGGTGCCATTTAGTTTAAGCTCATTCCAATTTATTCCATGTGATTGAAATCTTTTACAAGTGACATATAAATCCACTTTTGTTGGTTCTGATGATGCTTGCTTTTGCAGTTACATTTATTCTCAGCCAATACCTTATGTGTTCTTATTCTGATGTTGGTTCTGACCAGCAGGAGTACACAGAAGACTATGAGCCACAGAAGGGCAAGGGGAGCTTTCCAGCCATGATCACACCGGCATATCAAAGGGCCAAGAAAGCCAACCAATTGGCCAGCCAAGTGAGTATCTTGGTGCTTATTCACCATTGATCGGCCTCTTTCTTTTTTTCTCTCTCTCTTGTCATTAATGAACAGAAAAAAACAAAACAAAAACCACACAATAGAGTTGCTTTGGATCAATAAATCTTTTTAATGTATTATTATGGAAACCTGTTTTCTTATCCTTTCTCCATCAATTATCCTCTATGCCTTGCTTGGGCCACATCTATAAAGGACAGAGAAGACCATGTAGCGCCCCCAAAGAGGACACCAAATGATTTCTTGAGGTTGTTTTAGCATTAAGGGCATAGATGTTTATTAACTGAATGGGAGATCTGCATGAAGAAATGAAGAAGAGCGTACTCGGTGGTTCTGACCTCAAATTCTGGAGCCAGACAGCAGGGTTTAGATCCTGATTTTACCACCTACTAGAGGTGTGGTCTTATTCAAATTACTTAACGTCTGTTCTTCAAGTTCTTATTTGTACAATAGGGGAAATAATAGTCCTGCCTCATGTGATTGCTAAGGAATTTGAGTAAGTTAATATTTGTTTATGTTTAACAGTGACTGGCAGTTTCTTGGGCTTAACACGTTAGCATCGATACTTTTTGAGGGACAGCCCATAAAGTAAGCCAGGGAAGGCTCACCACAGGTGTGTATGAAGCATAACCTGAAGGTGACTCCTCCCCTTCATGAGCGCTGTGCTGTCTCTTTCATCACCAGGTGGAATACAAGAGAGGACATGATGAACGTGTCTGCAGGTTCTCCACAGTGGCAGATACTCCTGAACTGCTACGGGCCAAGGCGGGGACACAGCTTCAAAGCGATGTAAGAAATGATGGAAGCCATCACTCGATTTTTACCGAAGGTTCCTTATTCTTTCCTTGGAGTCCTGGTGTGGCTTTGTAGGATAAGCACTGGACTGCTAACCACAAGGTTGGTGATTCAAACTCACCAGACACTCATTGAAAACCCTATACAGGGTCACTATGAGTTGGAACTGACTTGGTGGCACTGAACAACAACTTTCTTTCCTTACCTGGAGGTGGAGAAAGGGAGAATGTCAAAGGCATTCTAGTACTGTGCAAATACATAGGAAAACGTTTTCATCACCCCATAATAAAAGCATCTTGAACCATCAAGTATTCACTCTATTCCCATTCATTATTTGTTCTTTTTCTATTTGGATGCTGTTCATTTTTTTCTTGCCTGGTTTGGCATTGTGGGTTAATACACTGGACTGCAAGGTTGGTTTGAACAAGGTTGACAGTTAAAGCTCACCAGCCACTCCTTGGAAACCCTATACAGGGTCGCTATGAGTTGGAACTAACTTGACGGCACTTAACAACAACGATTGTGTATAGGAGTCCTGGTGTGGCACTGTAGGGTAAGCGTTCAACCTCAAGGTTGGCTTGAATCACAAGGCTGGTGATTCAAATCCACCAGGCACTCATTGAAAACCCTATACAGGGTCACTATGAGTCAGAACCAACTCAGTGGCACTTAATGACAACAATTGTGCAAGTTTGTTAATTGTTCTATCTTTTTGATGAATTGACTTTTTTGTCAATGTAAAATATTCTTCAGTGTAAATTTGTCTGTTGTAACAATTTTTTATTTAAAATCTATTAAGTCTGATATTAGGATAGCTATCCACTTCTTTTGTGTTACTGTTTGCAGAGAATAGCTTTTCCTATTATTTTACTTCAAACTGCTTGTATCTTTGGGTCTGAAATGAGTCTCTTATAAGCAGGGTAGAGTTGAATCATGTTTTTTGGTTTTATTTTTAAATCTATTATCATTACTATCTCTATTTTCTAATTGGTGAATTGAATCTATTTACATTTAAAGTGATTCTGATAAGGAAAGCCTTATTTCTTCCATTTCACTAATTGTTTTTTTTTCTTCTTCTTTTTTTTTTTTTTTT